AATTAATTAAGAATTTAATTTAAAAATAGGTATTTTGTGCACTAAAAAAGACAGTGTTTTAATAATATATAATAAATCAGTATTTATAATAAGTAGAGTATTATTTATTAACAATTATATCTGTAGTCCCATACGCACCAAAAGTGATTGTTGGTACTGTACTATACCATACTATGATAGTACCCTAAGTTTTATTAAATTGGAGTTTTAATTAATTTCATTAATATTAATAATGTCTCTAAAATACTAATATTTTAACTGAAAATAATGACAATTTCACAAAATCATGGATGTCCTACCGGTGTCAAATCGGTAAACCCCATAAATGTGAGCCGGCACATCTCAACTCAGTCCGTGGCATTGAATTTCAAATAATATTAGGCAATAAACGTTGTTGAGTTGTAGTTTAAAAATTTACTTTTTAATTTACATATTTAAAAATAATATAATTATATTTACTTGACAAATTAGTGCAGTGAAATATCTTACATAGCAAGTTGTAATTGTATTTAATTTTAAAACTAAAATTAACAACTAAAATGATAATAAAAATTATTTTGTATTAACCACGATTAATTTGCAAGAGTAATATTAACAAATAATTTTGTTTATTGTTAGTTAAAATTATTTTGCCTTTCTAGTGCTATTAGCAAGTTTTATGACTTATTTATTACCAGTTTATTTTAAAAGGTATATTACAAATCTTTTATAAAGATATTTTGTAGTCTTGCAAGTTTACCCAACAATCAAGCATCAGTATCAATTTCATTCAATAGTTGAGAAATATTTTTACATTTTACAAATTACTATAATTTATATCTAGTTAATTATTTGATGTTGTTCAAAATCATATGAGTAATAAACAATTGAGAAGTTTTTTATTTTAATAAAATTATTAACATTAGAATCGTTTTTAGTAACTAATAATTTGTATAAAATAAAGAATAAGTTTTTATTTTCTTATTACTTAATTTAATTAAAATAAAATCTTTAAAATTTAATTAAAAATATATCGTAATTAAATTAAGTTCACCATTTTCATATATTAAACATATTTAAAAACACATTTGGATTTTAGTAGAGTATATGAGAAGTTGAACTTATTTTGCTTTACTTTTTTTAAACATTTACTATCAAAAATGAAGTTTTACTTGATCATTTCAATCATCATGGTTAGCGCATTAAATTGTAAGTATCACACAATCATTAAAATTTATTTTACAGTTATTATTAAATTCTAAATTAATTTGGTAAAATTGAAATACTTAACTCTGATTATTGCCTACATACCCCCTTGAACACAATAAATACCACGACCACAGACATAATTGTTAATTAATAATACTCTAATTATAAATATTAATTTAAATATTATTAAATCATTATCTCTTCTAGTGCACATAACACCTAAGTTTTATTTAATTATATTCTTAATTAATTACATTAATATTAATTAACGTTACTCTAATATATAACTCTTTTAACTTAAAAGGGGTTTAGGTTTAAATTATTTGTAAATAAAAATAAATAACCGAGATTTGAGCCCCATTTAAGGGCTAAAAATAATAATCACTTCACAAAACTCCCCCATGGTAGTATTTATTATATGTGCACTAAAAACAGCCACGTTTTAATATAATATATAGATACAGTAGATATATATTTATAATAAAGTATTATTTAGTTATAATTATGTCTGTGGTCGTGGTATTTATTGTGTTCAAGGGGGTAGGTAAGCAAAATCAGAGTTATTTATTACAGATTTACAAAATTAATTTAAAATTCAATAATAATTGTGAAATAAATGTTTGTGTGATACTTACAATTCAATGCGCTAACTATGATGATTGAAATGATCAAGTAAAATTTCATTTTGATAATAAAATTAAAATATAATAAAAGTTCAATTTCTAGTATTCTCTACCACAATCCAAATGTGTTTTAAAATGTGTTTAATATATTAATATATCAAAATGGTGAACTAAATTTAATTACTACAATATAATAAGAAGTAATAATAAGAAAATAAATACTTTTTTCTTTATTGTATAGAAAATATTAATAACTTTTTTCTAATATTCATAATTTCATTAAATTTATAAAAATTCACTATTGTTTAATAGTCGTCCCAAAATTAACTAGATATAAATATTGTAAATTACAATTTGTAATTTAAAAAAGGTCCAATATTTTTGTCAACACTGAATGAAATGGACATTTGTATTGAAACTGATATTTGATTGATAGGCTAAAGGGTAGTAGTAATAAAATATGACACTTTATTCAATCAATACATAAAGTAACGATAGATTTATACCGAAAACATTAATCAGTTTTATCCAAATAATGATAACTATTGTGTTACTGAATATATCTATCAATTCATAAGAGATATCCTGTTTATGAGTACATGTCTTATGTCGAGTGCTTACAACTAACATCCCATTCAAAAGCATAATCTTATTGATTATAATCCACGACCAAAATATGGATAATTAAGTACAAAAATGTTTATGATATATCATACATGGTTATGTTTATCAGTAAAAATATCAAACTTAAGAAAATAGTTCTATTTTTATTAATAACAAAAATAAAATTAATGTTTTTGTTATAAAATTTATTTATTTCCTATGAAAAAAATAACTATAAAAATAGAAAAATCACTTTCAGATCAAAATATTTTGGTTAGAAATCAGTTCTCATTAAATGTAAAAGTCTTTTGAATTTAAAATCATTCACAAAAGACTTGTAATTTTGTGAAAATAAATCACTGTTTGATTTGAATGGAAAATGTATAATTTTATTTTTGTATATCAAACTTAACTTTTATTTTGTAAAAAATATAAAAATTTATATTTCTATTCTACTTATTATATATGAATATTCAAAACATTTTCACAGAATATTCTGTATATAAATAATATAAACTCCATTGTAATCATTGCAACAAAATCAATACATTTAGTATGCAATACTTAAAACACAAAACAATATTACCAAGCATAATTACTAATAAAACTCATCTACCATTCACAGTACTCATCGGATGCCTGTCCACATCGATCACCCTATTCCTCTCACCGGTGGTGATAGCCATATGTCGCCGGAAGTCGATCCGATTGATCGCCATATTAGGCGGTCTCATCACAGCCCTGGGCTGTCTGTTCACCTCATTTGCCACACAATTTCATCAGCTCTTCGTGAGCTACGGTGTCATCGTAGGGGTCGGGGTGTCGATGATCCGCGAGACGGCCGTCATTATGATCGGCCAGTACTTCAAGAAACGGCGCGAATTTGTCGAGATCTTCGTGATCGCCAGCGCCGGCATTGGAGTGGCTTTTATGCCGCTATTCCTCACGTTTACCATTAGGTAAGGAAACGATTCCTTAAGAATATTCTGTAAATTCTGTAAATTCTTTGCATATATTTAATATTTAAGAATATTATATAAATTCTGTAAATGTTTTACAAATATTTAAGAATATTCTGTAAATCCTGTAAATTCTATACATATATGTGTTTCGCAGAGCGAAGAACTGGCGCTTCGGCTTCCAGGGGTTGGCTCTGATCGCGTTCATCACGTTTTTTCTGGCGGTCCTCTACCGGCCCGCCTCCCTATACCACCCGCAGCGGCGAGCGATACTACACCTGAAGAGTCTGCAGAAGAGGTCCCGGATTAAGGACAAAATGAAGGGCCACTCGATGTCGCAGAAGCAGCAGTCGCTCAACGGCTCCCAAATGGCGGCCCTCGAGAAACCGCCTTATTTTGACTTCACTGTCCTTAAGTCCCGTACCATTCAGATACTCATCTGCGGCACCTGTATCTCGTCGTTCGGTACCACTACCCCACTGTTACTAATAGTATTACCCTAGCAAATAGCATACCATTTATTTCTGATACTAACCATTGATTGTATTACAGACACAACAGGGAGCCGCTGAACACATTGAGTACCACTCCCTGATGGCATTGCAGGCATACATGGGCATCGGTATGGTGTTGGGCACCACCGCCATAGGCGCTATAATCGTCAAAAACTCGGTGGAGTGTATGATCGCCCGGCAATACCTGTGTCAGGCCTCCTGTTTTATGCTGAGCGCCACCCTATTGGCGTTCACGGCGCTGGACGACTACTCCGGATATGTATTGTTTGTGTGGATCTATGGCTTCTTTTATGGCGGATACCAGTACTCCCTGAAGATGTTTATCTACGAGAAAGTCAGGGCCCGTAACTTCAACAGGGCCTGGGGTTACGTGCAGTTCTGTCAGTCCATACCGACCATAGTTGGCATTCCTATATCAGGTCAGCCCATGGGTTCTGTATATTCTGTATATGGATTCTGTATATAAATTCTGTACAAGGATTTTGTGTGTCTATGTCTGTGACGCTAATTAATAGTTAATATTCTGTGAGATATTCTCGACTATTGTTTAGAGAATTGAGAGTTTATTTTATATCCACTTTTAGGAAAGCCAACAGTCCTTGAGTTCAATTGAATTGTTTGTTTATATTGTAAATATATTTTATTTATGATAGTATACAGTGTTATCTGTTATAAGTTTGCGAATCAATTGTTTACGCATAGAGTGAATTGATTTTAAAAGCCGTGGAAAATAGTTTTGACACAAAAATCAATACGTTAGACAAACAAACAAAAAATATTTTATATATTTGAGTGCTTTTTATGGGTATAAAAACATTCATGAAAAACTAAAAACAAACTTAAAATATCACTTTAGTGACCCGTGTATTAAGGGTTAGAAATACTGATAATTTATATCCGACTAAAAAACAACAATAAACTTCTGTTCAGTTACTTTAATAGATAAAAATACTAAAATAAATATTTTAGTTTTAATACACCAAGTTAATATAATTATATTAAGTTAATTTATTAATAAGCATATTACCAATTTACTGTATAATTTAAATAAAATATAAAAATTATTTATTTAGCTAGCATATAACTAATTAACTTATAAAATACTTTTTAGCCAATTAAAAACCTGGACAATTTATTTATTTATTTCAATTTTGTGTCAACTATTGACAACAATTATATTAAATTATTTATTTAGCTAGCATATAACTAATTAACTTATAAATATCTTTTAATTAATTAATTAAAAATCAAAATAAATTTTTCATTTTTTCATTTTACTATCCCTGGGTGGACAGCATTCCTGAACGAGCACTTTGGCGACCGGACCGGCTTCTACCTGTCCTCCCTGTGCATAGCGTTGGGCTCATTAGTCCTCTTCTTCATCGACGCCCACAAGAAACGGGTGGCGAAGAAGCGCAAGATTAGTAGCGTCAGCGGCACCGACATGATGGCCACCGACACGTCCCGGCGCTGCTCGCACGAGCCCTCCCTAGACCTGC